GGCTGTCTAGCTTCCAAGTTAGGCTCTTGGCTGCTTTGCTGTTCACCTTAGTATCCACATAGGATTATCTTAGTCTCTTTCCTTCCTTAGCAGGAGGTGGTTTGCCGGGTGGAGCCATACTGTTTCCCTATTCCCACTCCTTAACGCTCTCCAGTGGAAGAAACGTGGATAAACATTTGGAACATTGAAGCAAAATTTAGTTCAGCATGATTACCTTGCTCTGTGAGGGTTTGTGGATCTCCACACTGTGAGAAAGGAATTTCTGATTTTTCTTGCAACTGATTTATTAATTAAATTGGCATGTTGCATTTAATGCCATGGCATCCTTTGCTAGTGGGGACCCGGGACTGCATGTTCACTGTGGGGCTTCAGTGTGGACTGTGTGTTTGCTGTAGCGTGTCTTTGAGCGTCCTTGTGTAATTAATGCAGGAGGTCTATTACTAACTTTTAGCCATGTTAACCCTTCCCAACACATTTCACATCAAGGTGTACTGTTGGGGTCCTGGAACGCAGCACCCCGCCCTAACAGTGTCAGCAGACACAAGACGTCTTTCCCCTGCTCATTGCACCTTCTCCTGGTGTCTGGTGGGCAGTCTTCAGCTGGGGCTCCGGAATTTATGGGTGTCTGAGGTGACTTTTGAGGGGAATTAACTTTCAGGTCATTGTCTTCTAGACACAGTCCTTCCTGACCGTGATCCTCCTGAGAAGACAGTTTGGGTCAGGTGCCCTGCAGGTTCTCCTTCCCACTTCTTTACAACCACGCTCTGCTTTCCAAAAAACCTGGAGGCCTAACTTCATCAGTGTGTGTTGCCCTAGAGTGTGTGTGAGAAAAAGAGAATATACCTTCCAGAGCAACAGGCCCAGGGCCAGTGGGAGTGCTGGTTGCAGGGAAGCAACTTTTGGTAGACAGACTGGCATCAGGACTGCTGTGAGGCAGTGCTGCCAGCCTGCTCTGTGTGCAGAGGATCTTCTGAGGGTGAACGCTGGACACTCTGACTTGAGGGGGAGTAAAGAGGGACCGTGGGCGTGTTGACACCTTTCATTTAAGGTCCTCACCTTGCCCAGTCCTCTGAACACATTGCTTTTGAGGAAAGAGTCCTGTGTGTGTGAAGCACAAGCTTTTCTGCAATTGACTTTTGTGAGGCAAAATAATGTTCCGAGGCTAAAGAGGCACAAACTGGTGGCATTGTTTCTTCTAACTGTAACTGCTGTCTGCAGAAGTGCCAGAGACACTGAATTAAATGTGCACATTAAAAAGAGAAAGTTATGGCTCGGCGCCTGTGGCTCAAGTGGCTAAGGCGCCAGCCACATATACCTAAGGTGGCGGAATCCAGCCACCAGGATTTGTTGAATCCAGCCTGGACCCGCCAAACAACAATGATGGCTGCAACCA